AATTTGTTGTTCTAGTTATTTTTTTTTTAAATACTTTTTAGAACACAGGCCTGAGATCCCAATCTTGGCGCCCTCTCTCCCCTTTAAAAAAAACCCCAGATCCGCCACTGGACACAGCAAAATTGTGTGTTCAAAATTATAGCCGATACTATACTGTGTCCTCCTAAGCAAAAATGCCTCTACTGTACACACATGCAATTTTATTGCACAGATGTCATAGATAATTGGTCGTTACCTATTGTGGTCAACTACTTTCCAAAGGAAACATCATAGGCAACAAACAAACCCTGGCAAAAAACGTACAGGGAACGTCATTTTACTATCGAAAAACTAGCAGAATCAATCAGAACAGAGATATTATCCACCTCATTTTTGTCTCCTAGAATCGGATTGTTTCTTCACTCAAGGCCACAAACGGGGAAAAAAACAAAAAATTCGAACATTTCAACAAAGTAAAACTACTTTATTACAGCTAATCTATTGACCTTCAGCCGCTCGCTAGCATGGACGATTGGCAGTCTTTTTTAAAATTTTTACGCAAACATTCATCTACAGAACGCCGAGGTTTGATGCAATCAGTGCACTCCGGCAGTTCAGTGCGGCCACAAACTCAGTTGTGTCAGTACGACGGCCAACTTGCACGTACGCCCGACTTTATTGGAAGCTAATAGGGGGGAAATTTTTTTCTTAAAAAATAATATTATAGTGTAAGTACTATATAATGAAGAGCTTATGAGTACCTAGTATAATATGTACCATAATGAAATCGTTTATAAAGACACCAACGGTTTTATCGTGGGTAAGGCCAAAAGTTTGTCGTAGCGGGCAGCGTTGTGCCTTTAAGCGGGGGCGAACGGACAAAAGTTAACAAGGGCACGGATGGTGTGAAATTACAACACAGCTGTGCGCCGCGGCACGGTGGAACGATTACGATAACGCCGGTGCAACCAAAGCTTGGCCGTTCGAATGCGGCCACATTTATCCGAGACCGTGCGCGTTCCAAGGGCCTTTGAAACGGGCAAAACGGCTTATAGGTGCAGCCTTTACACACACACACACACAACGACTATTGATTTTGACAACACTCCGATTGGACAATATCGGTCAATTTCAATACAGCTTTACACAGTGTACGTACACTCGGGCGTGGATGCTATTTATAATACCTACAATATTGTTAATACAACAAACAAACACACTCACCAGGCGACGCCTTTGACGAAATTCGGTTTGATTTCCACTGCGGCGGCGGCCATTGTGGCGCGGTCGGCTGGCGTTCAGTGCATAACACGGGGCTTCGGGGACGCGCTATGGCGGCGGTCGGCAGCCGCGTTAACAGAACAGGTCGGTAGGAGGAATATTCGGAACTCACAGGGGACACACACGCGCGAAAAAGAAAACACTATAGCGATTATTATTTTCTTAGAACAAATTAGATATTTTATTAACCGCTTAGGTACGAGGAGGACTTTGGGAGGGAAAAAATATTTTAATAAAAAAAAAAAAAAAAAACAATAACGCGATGAGCGTACCGAACGCGCGCCTGATTGTGCAGGCGTTGGGAATTCAGCCGTGTGTGTTGTCAGTATATAGTCGCTGTTGTTTGTTGTTGTTTGCGGCGGCCGGCGGCTCCCGCGGTTAGGCCGTGGAGGGAAAAACGCGCGCAAGGTATGCTCGCGCGTTGTCTGGGGTGTTACGCCGCCGCCGCCGGAATGGCCGACGCAGCGGTGTCCCGTAACGACCGACGCGGCCGGCGGCCATTTTTTCGTTTCAGCGGACGCCCCGGCGTACCTGTTGCCCGTCGACCCGGCGACCGCGTCCGCGTCGGTTATTGGTCCCCGCCCCCCCCCCCCTCCGCCTGTGCCGCGCGCCACGATCGATACATGGCAACGATAATTATTTTCGGTACGGTTGGCACGACTGCTCGGTCTGGAGGTACCTCCGCGGCGCGCACTGCCGAACCGGGTCGTCGTCAAAGTCAATAAGTAGTAATCCCATAGATAATAAATTAATAATTATCTATGAGTAATCCCAATATGTTATTTGTTTTTAATTTTGCTTAAAAACGGGATGCGCTTCTTAAAGCATTCCATTAATCAACAGCTAGGTATACATTAAAATATATTACACGTTTCGTTTTTTAATAAATTTCGACATAAATTTTTTGTATATTAAGCTGATAACAGCAGATGATAAGAAACCGTTGTCGATAAGAACTCGGTTGTTATCATTATCGATCTGTCACAACAGCTACCTACATTTTGATAAACAAGCCAAATTACAATTATTATTATAATGATGTTTATTTGCGAAATTACTCGACCCGAAAAAACCTTTTTTTGGCACGATATCGTTTAATTTAATATTATTATTATTATTTAACATAGTAATTTATCGCAAAGTGTGTGTATATATTGTAATATTACTACAATTCGATAGTCGCCGCCGCCGCCGCCGGTAATATGATTGTACCGAAAAAAGACCTTTTGGTCTTGTTGAAACCCTATTATTGGGTGAACGTCATGTTGACGTGTTCGTTTGTTTTCTGCAAGAAAAACGATTACGTGTGCCGTCACCTGTTCGAGCCGACAGACACCTCGTGCGAACTGGACACGGTGAGTGATGAAGTCGTGTACCCGATATTTTGTAACCCGATAGATAGTTTAGAAGTTTTTTTTTTTTACAATGTCATTTTGTTTTTACACTTATCTAAACTTGTTTATCTTACTTGTGTCTGAACCCACGATATTATATTACACTGCAAACTGCCGAATCGATTAGCAACAGCTCTGTGTAATAGACCAATAGGCGTACACGATACAGTTAGTCAGGAGGTTATCGGGTCAAAAATGTTAAAAGTTCATCGCTTCCTCTGTGTCGGAAAAATATGTGCCAAAAAAATATGTACACATTTTGCTACTTAATATTACGGCGCTTTTTATTACTTGGCATATTCTTGAGATTAACGACACCCCGTGTATCGTTGGTGACGAACCAAAGAATACAATAAACCCTTTTGCCTTGCCCCCCTCGAATGGTTTTTTTTTTGTATTTCTCTTTTTCCAATTAAAAAAGATTCAGGACTAACGGTAGGAAAAATTGGGACCGAATGTAGATCTACTGCAGTGTGAAGAGCCATGAATTTTCTGGAAAATTTGTTGTCCGCGTTTATTGTTTATCAAACATCTCACTCGGACCGTTTTCAATTATAATATTATACACATTTAGTTATTATATACACAGTTCTCTATTGTGTACACAATTCATCCAGCGTAGGAACGCGGCTGCGTATAAACCGTTTGTGTCTCGAACGCAGTTTACGCACAAACAAAATCGGCCGTATTTACATTGAAAATCGCACGCTTTAACAATCAGCGTATAAACGAATATACACTTGAAATCAGTTTGTATTTTATTATAGGCTACGACAAAGTAAGTTGAAAGTATACTTTGTGAAGCGACGGTTATTTATTTTTTTTTTTTCACAATCACTCAACAAAACATTAGGCTGAATAAAATAAAATGAGTATTTTTGGAAACTCACTTTAGTTTTTTACCAACAACCCTTTGTGGTCGGAGGATTAAATCATTTCTCGAAAGAGATATTTCCATCCCTCTCCCCCTCCCCCCATTAAAATTGCACAACTAAATAAAATTATTCCAATAATACCGAATACACTTTTTATAGTAGATTTATTCTTCGGGTGTACAATATAGTAAAATTATTTTATTTGTCCAATGTCCCCCCCGACTGTACCTACTTGTGTACTTTTGTTTCGATTACTTCTTACAAATACACGTCATTGGTTTTTATTTTTACTATTTATGTTTTTCCAGAAAGAATTGGAAATTTTGCTGTTCGTAATGATCGTCATCATGATACGCACGAGGAAGGCCGGCAGCGTGACGATGGTCGATTATTTGTCGTCCAGCTTCATATACACCAAGACGGCCAACTTGTTGTTGTGGTTTTTCGCGGACGCCCGATACGGATTGATTTACTCCGCTTTGGTCATCAGTACGTGTACTGATAGAATAGAATATATTAGTGTATTATCGGTGTATTTGATTAAAACACATTATTGTTTTTTAATTATAATTAATTATGAGATTACACTGTAACACTATTTACATGTATATATGTATATATATATATATAGGTGTAAAATGATTGTATTAATTTTGTTTTTTGTTTTTTCAGTCATAACTTTCGTGCTGCCCGCGCCCACGTATTCGGGCCCCGAAAACGTCGTGTACTTCCGGTCGCTGGCCAGCCTGGAGGAAACGCTCAGGGACGACAAGTACACCGTGTGGATCGTTTGCTTCTACACGACGTGGAATCCGTCGTGCGCGAATTTCGCGCCGATATTTTCGCAATTGTCCGTCGAGTGAGTATGCACCACATGTGTGATACCGTGGTGATTTGGCACTGTCGATGTTGACTACCCGACACCGGTGTCGGTGATGTGAATACTATATTCTCCATAATATAACAGTGTATAATATTATCATATATTGTACATAATATGACAATACAACAGTGTATAATATAATATGATATTGTACATATTGCAATATAACAGTGTATTGTGTATTTTTCTGTTGCTCAAGGTACGACACAAAGTATTTGAAATTCGGCAAAATCGACGTTAGCCGGTACCCGGACGCCGCACAAAAGTTCAACATAAACGACACGTCGTTCAGCCGTCAACTGCCCACCGTGGTGCTGTTCAAGAACGGCTTGGAGTCGGTGCGACGACCGGTGTTCGACGCCAAAGGCAAAGTGTACAAGTTCTTTTTCACCGAGGTAAGAGAGTATTAAAAAAAAAAAAACACAATATCCCGTACCTACCATACACACAGTATATATAATATGTACAGTCATAGTTAAACGATAACAATAACGACGACGATTTTTTTTTTCCAGTCCAATTTCAAAGCCGTTTTCGATATGAACAACGTGTACGCGGATTGTAAGAAAACGCTGGACAAGAAAAAGAACGAAGGGGCCGAAAAAACAAAATCCGATAAAAAAAAGAAAACTTCATAGTCTCTCTCTCTCTCACTTGTCGAAACAAATTTTATCGAAAACTAGACTAACATTTTTTTTTTTCTTAATATTTTTCAAGTGTGCCCCGTCCGTATTTACTATTTTTTTTTTTTTGCGCAACCACAACGATGTATTATTTATGTCGTGTATTCTTTATTACGTAGCCGCGCAAAAGATACAATAATATGTGTGTGTTTTTTTTTTTTATTATACATTTTGAGATCTTTTTTCCCTTTACAAAACTGTAAAGTCGTGGAAACAACTAACGAATCTAGTCATTAATATTAGACATTTCGCTTAAATTACATTTTATATGCGTCCAAGCGCATTATTGGTTTTTTTTTTTTTTTAATTAACTAATATAGTGTATTCAAGTTAATATTATTATTATTATTATAGTAATACGGTTTACAATTATTGTAAAGACGTGTAATGTTAAGCGCAGCATTTATTTTACAAAACAATTGTAACTTTTTTTCAAGTTGACGTGTTTAAATAATAATTGTCAAATTTTGTTTTTTGTTAGATTATTAATAATACAACGTAAGATTTTTTTTTTTTCATTCTTTTTTCAACATAAAGTGCATCTCCTGAGACTATGTTTTTTTTTTTTTTTTTTAAATAAAATATGGCTGAACGAGCAAAATTATTCTAATAATGTTTAGAGCTGAAAGAACGCGGTGTTGAAATTACAAAGAGTTTCATCGAGGTGGGTGTCCGAAGTTAGTAAAAAAAAAAAGAAAATTAATTAATTCAGACGGATAATTTAGGTTCATCATTAAACAGTGTGGTGGCAGTTAGTTTTTTTTTTGTTAGAAACTGCAAGTTCACGTATAAACATATATTTCCCTCGAGTTTGTTACGATTTTAAATAAATAACTGTTGGCAGTAAATTGAGTATTTGTTAAATGTATCGAAACCGACGGCGGTGGTGTACACGACTAGCAACTGGGATCGGATTAAAAACCGTGACGCGTAGGTAACCACAAATCGATACGGCAGATACAATGAAAATATTTTTTTAATTTTTTGTCATATTTTTACACTGTATGTAACTTTTTGAGAGCCTATACAATTTTTAGGGCTTGATGGACTAATAAAATTCTGGAAATTTTTACAACACTTGGCGCTTATGTATAACCAGAACATCTGGTAATAGTTTGGTATTGAAGAATGGTTGTTTTGTACTAGGAGCTGCTGTGAGAACTTTAAGAACCACGCATAGCATAAATATATATTTGTATTCAATGTGCAGTAACAATGTAGGTATCCAACGACTGCTACCACTTTTTGAATTTAAGTCTTTTTAAATTTTAATTTGAAATTAGTTTTACCAAATTGTTTACCCTATTTGGGCCGCCCATAAGTGTAAAATAATTTCAATTGTTGTCTGGTGCAAGAAGAGGGCGCGCGCATCTGTCATAATAATAATAAATAGGTAACGTTGGTTTAAACCTACTACCGTGTTTCGGTACTAGAACCAATGTAGAAGAGATGATACCACTGTTGAGCATTATTATTGACAATAAACAATGACCGTGTGTTATCGACTGAAATCTATGAAAATGTTGAAAACATTTTTTTCGAAAAATTATTTTTTTTTTTTTGGAAGAATAACTCTTTGAATTTTGAACTATCAAAAACCCGTCGCGTTTCTAAGCAAAAGTAAGATTAATTATTATTTTCTTTTTATGCAACAATTTAACGCTATGTACCTAGGTACTGAAAACTTAGTATTACTCTTTATGAAAATTGTATTGCACCTTGATAATTGTAAGACCAATCCAACCGGCAGTAAATAATTTTTCCATAAATTTATACGGTATATTTTATTTGTTCATAATTTCATAAATTGTTTTCCTCTTTTTGTGTATGTGTAAATTTTTTTTTATGTAAAAAACGTGAATGATTAAACGAATAGCATGTATATACAATGAAGGTATTAAAAAAAAAAAAACCGTTTAAATTTTGCATGCATCGTGTTGTAAATCTGGTAGGTATATAAAACACGATTTTGATTTTAAAATAACCAGATAGAATATAATATTTTATAGATGAAATAATTATTTTTGGGAAATCTTAAACAAAAGTACAAAATATTCAAACGAACCTTTGACCCCACTTTTCTCATTGTTCGGTATAACCGACACGCAAGTAAAAGTAAATGCGGTGCTAAATTTTCAAATTTCCAACAAAATCTCGTCTCGCCCACTATTTGAGTGAAAGAATATTATTGGGGAAAATACCAAGAGTAATGACTATCTTACTGCCCGACCCCAGTCCGGTATGTATATTAAAAGATTTTAGACTTTTGTAAATAGAGTGAGACGGGAGACTGATATTTTTAAGGGGTTTTATGTGGGCAATATTTAAGAAAAAATGTGTTTTTTTTTTTTAATCAATTTCGACCGTGATCGTTTTTATTTTCCGGTTAGGGGGGACAGGCTATTTTTAAGTATGATTTGTATAGGGCAATATTTAAGAAAAAATTGGCTTAAATAAATTTCGACCATGTCAATAAATTTACCGGTTAATTTCTATACAACTAAGCATCGAGGTATTGTTTTCAGTTTAAATCATTTTGTCTATGAGTGAAAGCCAGGTCTGTATGGAGCCCCCTTAAACACATTTGTATAACACATTCGAGGCACGATATTATATCATGTACAAATTATACAATTTTTCGTGCAAACAAAAGTGCATTTTGGCGAGATAAAAAAAACCAATTTATTACATCTTAAGTCTGACGACAAAATTACACACTTATTTGGGGAATTTGGTCGCATTTGAACTGTGTAAAAAAAAAAAAAAAAATTCGAGCTGTTTTTGAACCTTTTTTTCCACGTTATTCGTCGTGAATGTCCGTTTTTGAATTATTACTGTAAACACAACATTATGGTTTTAATATTATGCAACTTGATGCGGCGGTTTATCTGTTACATACAAAATTCCTTATTATCAATTGGTAGGGGGCAAGGGGAATGATATGGGTATCCGTTGAATGCGGGGTAGGTACATTTGAATAATAATGCCCATTGAATTATTGTTTTCATTGTGCTAAAAAACAATAGTTAAACGGTATTTGACGTGTTGCGACTGTATGTAGGTACACTTTCCCTAGTGTGTTGCTCTAGCCGATTCTGACTGATAACGCGATAAGGAAAATACTAGGTATATGTACTTGTAAGAATTTCCATAGACTAGATTTTTTCATTTTCATAAGAATTTCTACACACTTGCAACAGCTATTCATAAAGTAGAAAATAATTTTTACAGATCCAAAAATGATATGTTGTTTCCTATATGCAAAGTATCTACCTAACGTTGATGATTTAAATATAATTAGTAAATTATTTTATCCGATATAAATTATTAAATATCATATTAACACAATATACTAGGTACCGATAAGTAGGTAGGGAGGATTTTGAATTGGCGACCACGAGGCGGGGAATTTGAATCTCGTCCATAAAATACCCAATTCTCAAGTGGTATGTAATGTACCTAGTTTGAGTCGAGAACCGGCACAAAATTAATCATATTATATACCTAACTGTTACTTACAAAGTGTTAAAAATTGCATAGATTTGTTTTAAGTGAAATCTGTCCAAAGAACCAAAATATACTTATCTTATGAAATGTTATATTATCAAGTTCTATATATATATATATATTCGCTTTAAACAAAGAAAGTCAACTAGTTGTATGGTACTAGTCGGAATCAATGTTGTATACAATATTGTTGTATGATTGTTCCAAAAAAATAATCCTATTCGGGTGTGATTCTTTCCAGGGGGTGTGATTCCTATCAGGGGGTGTGATTGTTATCAACGAGTGAGATTCCAGGGAGGTTGTAGGGATGGGACTCCTTATCAGGGAGAGGGGAATCCAAGGAGGAATTAAGTACAATACTAGTATCTATTCTGTGATAGCAGATAGTAGTTTGTACCAGTAGCGCAACCAGAAAAAAACCCTGGGGGGGTCCAAAATTATAATACAAAAAATGTAATCATGAATAATCATGTTAATAATAAATTTAATTTTTTTTTGTGTTAATGTATAAATAATAAAAAGTAAAATATATTAATTTATAAAATAAAGTCCAAACGGCGCTTTGAAGTCGCTAAACGATTTATTATTTCTTCGGATTGTACATTTATATCGGTCAATTTTTTACCGACATATATGCTAATATCGAAAATGCTATGATCGACTACAGCCTTTGTTTCTGTATTAGAAGTTTGAACATCACTAGTGGTAAGTTTAGAATTTTTAGGATTTGATTCTGATGAATCTGATTTTTTAAAATAAGCATTTATACGTTTCATAATTAAAAAAACATAAATAATTATTAATTATATACAAAATACGAAATTCACAATTTTATATTAACCGACTGCCGATAGGGTTTAGTTAAGATGAAAATTAAATTGTTGTTTGATAATAGTAGGTTAAATATTATTGCGATAAGTGATTGCCATAAACGTAAACACGTTTATGTCAATGTATACAATCATGGTTATTTGTTATATTATATTAATCAATGATTATGACGTGATATCATAGACCTTATACCACGGTTTCAATATGTGATAATGATTTGTTATCTGCTGCAAAGCAGGCAATACTAAACTATTATATTGCTGAAATAAATAAATAGTGTTTACTGTAAAATATAATTAGACAATAACTAAAATTACCTTCCCAATTTTTCACTTTAGAAATACTCAAGGGGGGGTCTGGACCCGGGGACCCCCCCCTTGGTTGCGCCACTGGTTTGTACCAACGCATATTTTAATAAGAATACTGCATTCATGCGCGGTCGAAGGTAGATTTGACGGAAAAGTATTATTTAACAATTAATTCATACATATAATTCTATTATAATTTATATTGGTACTTGATTGGTGCGGTGAGGTTAGGGGGGGGGGAATAGTGTTGTAACGTTGACAAACATAATATTTTAAATTGCAGGCGCGGAACACTCAACATTTATGAAAAATAATAATAAATCCATTCAATACTATACTACCCCATTTTCCCTTACCGTAATCAGATTTATGTTTCGCATACGAGTTCGTTTACCTCAATAACACACACACACACACACATGGAAATCACAAGAAGCATATAATATAAGTGGTGCGCGCATCTACCTATCCGAGAACGAATCACACTCGAATAGTAACTGTAAATTGGATCAACTTAATAAATAGTAGTACCTATTATTACTATTCGAGTCAATCCCCATTACAGTTTACACTCCATTGTATAGTACATAATTCGCTATTGTTTTCCATTGTGTTCGCCGTTGCGTTTACTGTTAGCTATTGTTTTTAACCGTGTGTGTGTGTAAATATTATT